AATATATATCAGGGTACTATAATTAATTTAACCTTGTAGTATTTATCCCCAAATATATTGGTATTTTAGTACAGACATGAAACAAGGTTTCCGATTTCATTTTAGAAATGTCATTCTTCAGGTGACTACTGGCTCTACTTATCACATTCATTAAATGAATGCAAAAACAAGATTAATGAACATTTACTTCACAAGTAGATGAGTTTATTGCATGATAATAGAACACCTTCAACAGTGGAAGGTTGGGGCTTCAGGCTCACAACAAAACTGGAAGAGAAAGAAGAGAAGACAGTGCAGTAAAACCTTGGACACAAGTAGGTGAAGATGGGATGCCCTTAAGAGAAGAAGTTGAATGCCTGCCTTCACAGTTTTGCATCCATTCAGACCTAAACCAGTACTCAGTTGCAGTCTTTAGAATGCATATATTGGAAAAGTTGCCTCCAAAACACAAACTTCCCTCACAGACCACAAAACATATACTGGGAAAGTTCTTCAGAGGCTTGCGGTGCAATCCAGCAAAGAGCCTACCATGAACAAGTTCCCAGATCCATTCAGTTCCCTGCACCGAAACATGAAGAAGGAAGAGAAAATGTCCACTCGGAACAAGTCCACTTATTCAGCTTCCGTCCCCTCTACCAGCCGTCACATGGATTCTTCCTTCGAATTAAAAAAGAAAATTCTGAAACCATTTCTTTCTTACACATTTGAAACTTAAGATCCTTTGGGTCTCCGTCACTTAAATGCAACCCTAGTGAGCTGCTACATACACTTCAATCAAACTTTACAGCTAAGCTCTTTAGGGTGTTTTGTTTTGTGGCAGAACCGGGGATTGAACCCTGGGCCTGCACCCTATCACAGAGCTACATGCCTTCCTTTATTCGATCCTTTTATCTCCTCAGAACGTTGAAATGAAGGCTGTGGATGTTTCAATTCCTGCTGCAATGCCTGGCACACAGGTGTTCCAAAAGTGGTCAGTAAATCTTAAGATTAGCGGGTGGGAACATCCTGAAGAAACGAAAGTTCTTGCATATCCTAATATTTAAGAGACATTAATTCTTTACAACTAATTACAAAGACAATCTCTGATTCACAAAAGAGCGGGTTAGAAAAATTCTAAAAATAACACAAAGCCTAAAAAAAGCAAGGTCTAAAGCTTACGAAGTGTGCTGTGTCTGTCCTGTGTGCATTCATACTCTGCCCTCGAGTACCAAGGACAAGCTCATTTTGGATTGTACTTCAGGAATGACGAGTCGTCTACTAATTAGGAGTCAGAGTCCTTAAAATTATTTCTTAAGAAATTGCTTGCTTTGGGGAAAAGAATAAATTCTCTTTCTCCCAGTTTGGGCTGTTAGGAACAAAGGCGACTGGGTACACATCTTCCTCAAAACCCCCTCTTCTGCTAGGCAGCTTTCACTCTTGTTTCCATTAGGAATTGTCAGACTGCAGTGGGCTGACCCTAGATTCCGAGTGGTGGAGACTTAAACAAACAGCAAAACCTCAGTCTTCACCCCGCAAAGAAGAGGTTGCAAGGCAAACGGAGAGAACCAGGCTCTGAACTTAGGACAAAAGCAAGGGCTGCATAATAATGAGCTGCTGGAATGGGGGGTGGGAAGCCGGGACCCCCCCCCTTCCTAGGAAAGTGATTTCCAGGAGGTGAGAGTTTAGGCCAGTCCTGTGAGAACTTGATTGTCATCATTTGGGAGGGTTGAAACCAGAGGACTTTCTGCTTAGGAAATAAACAAATATCGGCCCCGATTTAAAGGTGGGACGTGCCCGAAGCCTGGGAGATGATAAAAGGACTGACCTCTTAAGTCTAAAGGCCAGAGTGGGGACCAGTTTTAAGGATATAATAGGTAATTGTCGGGAATCAGCTGTAAAGATGGGAAGAAGGCATCTTGAAAAGCAG